CATTCGCTCTTTGCGCATCTTCAAATTCCGCATAAAGAGGCACGAACCGCTCGCGCCGAGCCATCAACTCCGCTCCGACCTCTCTTTTGCCTGCCCTACGAGCACGGCGAGCCATCGCGTCGGAAAGTTCTAAGCTTCGACGGGATTCAGCTTCATACTCTTCTCTCACACGAGCGGCCTCCTTTGCAGCCAAATCCTGGGCACGAGAGAAACTGGCATCGATCTCCCCTCTGATACGAACAGCCTCCGCCTCTGCTGCTGCAGCCCTGGATTCGGTCCTGCGAAGCTCCGCACTATTCGCATTCACCTCCTTGCTCATAAAGCGAAGTCCCTGCGAAATGGAACAAACATCCTTCGTAAAAACATACGTACATAATTATAATAAAGAATAGACAAACCTTGTTGAAAAGCCTCGACGCTTTCGCAAACGGTGTGTCAGCTGGCCCTCGGGATGACGTCTCAGCCGGATCAAATTCGGAGGGCGAAAAATCAATAAGATCCTCGATATCAATATCTTCGTTAGATGCCCGACCGTGGTCGACCGGGACTTCTCTATCCTGCGGAGATCTAGATCTTTCCCTCTCCTCCGCACCATCGTCCGCCTTAAGATCAGCATGATCGTCGCGAGAAAAACCGGACGAATAATAGGCGGCGGCACGATGGATCCTTTTCGGAGAAAAATACCTCCAATGAAGCGGGCTGCCGCGCAGAAGATTCATCACCTTCGGAAAATCTTCAAGCATCGGCACCGGAAGGGCAGGCACTGCGAAACAAACGAAAACGTTAAAACCTATATCTACATAGATATGGGTATCACGTTAATGGAATACCGTTTGTCACCCGCGCATCCCTAATCAAAGGAATACAACTCTCCTCCACCGATGCGCTGTCAATTTTGACATAAAAGAAACGGTAGATCCAGTCGTGATCATTCGAGGCAAGCCCGCCAACAACCGTCATGTCCCGTCGGGGGGCTAAGTAAAAACCATCCTTTCTCCCCTTGAATGTCAATATAGACAAATTATAATCCGCATCAAGGGACATACCGCGTTCATATCCCAACACAAGAATCCCGATAAGGTGCTGTAAGCCTTTAGGGCGTAGTTGGCCGAATGGTACTCCAAACCTGTCCAAGAATTCGAAAATGGCTCGAGGAATAGAGAACCATAGATGGCAGGTCAACAAAAAGGCTTCGTAGCACGTAAAGTAACCCAGAGGCGGATCCTCGGCACTCATACCCTCGGCAGGGATGTAAAACTGAACCGACTCGGGGATCGCACAGGTATTTCTCAGATATCTGAGAGAACCAACGGTACTCGTGCTCATGCCAACTACCCTCTTCCGGGGATTATTTCTCTTCGGAACCCAGAAATTCGAAGGCGGCACCTCCGCGGCACTCACGGCTAAACAGTAGTCTGCGAACTCTTCTTTAGTTGTAAGGAAACGTCGAAAGACCGGCTGGGGAAGAGAACAGCCGCTGGGTGTATCAAGGTCGCTCAGATCAAAGATTGATGCATGAGCATCATCTGAAACTTTCCGTCCAAAAGACATGCTGGAGAGTCGAAAGAAAAAAGGATCTAAAGGAAAGAGTAGAGAGAAGCCTTCCTAAAACTTAAGCAAGTTATGGAGGAATGAATGAAAAATTTATAAAACTCACTCCATATACTTATAGGGAAGAATTTTACTATTCACCTTTGGACTTTTGGCCATTAAAGTTCCGCCTAATTCTGCCAAACTCGCCAAACGAGCTCAATCCACTCGCAAGAACCTCACGCTTCTTACGAGCTGGGGGGCTAACTGTTGGGGTCAAAATCGGTACGACGGAATTAATAGCCAAAACTCCCCGCAAAAATGCAAAAGGAGTAGTTTTATAAAACTCAAAGTCATTTATAAAAATCGAGGATCGTTTTTATAAGACTCAAAAGGCCGTTTTATAAGACTTGAAGATCGTTTTATAAAACTCGAGAAATCGTTTTATAAAACTCGAAAAGCAGTCTTATAAAACTCGAAGATCGTTTTATAAAACTCGAGAATCATTTTATAAAACTCGAAAGGTCGTTTTATAAGACTCGAGAAATCGTTCTATAAAACTCGAGAAATCGTTTTATAAAACTTAAGGATCGTTTTATAAAACTCGAGAATCGTTTTATAAGACTCGAGAAATCGTTTTATAAAACTCGAGAAATCGTTTTATAAAACTTAAGGATCGTTTTATAAAACTCGAAGATCGTTTTATAAAACTCGAGAAATCATTTTATAAAACCTAAGGATCGTCTTATAAAACTCGAGAATCATTTTATAAAACTCGAGAATCGTTTTATAAAACTCGAAGATCGTTTTATAAAACTCGAAGATCGTTTTATAAAAATCGAGAAATCGTATTATAAAACTTAAGGATCGTTTTATAAAACTCGAGAATCGTTTTATAAAACTCGAAGATCGTTTTATAAAACTCGAAGATCGTTTTATAAAACTCGAAGATCGTTTTATGAAATCCGAAGATCGTTTTATAAAACTCGAGAATCGTTTTACGAAACCGCAAAAAACCTAAATAGCCGTAAAACGCGAACTAGTCGCAACTAGTTCACCCATCGGCAAACTAAGCCGGCCCGGCTTAGTTCGCCGATGGGCGAACTAGGAAGTGCTCAACTAGTTCGCCCATCGGCGAACTAGGAAGTGATCAACTAGTTCGCCCATCGGCAAACTAAGCCGACCCGGCTTAGTTCGCCGATGGGCGAACTAGGACATGCTCGACTAGTTCGCCCATCGGCGAACTAAGCCGGCCCGGCTTAGTTCGCCGATGGGCGAACTAGAGACTTCCCGTACACTCCGCGTCTCGATTTCCCGCATTCCCGATTCAAAACTTACGTCTTTCGACAAGATCCCGCATCTCCCGTTCCATCTCGATCCGACTTATCGTTTGAGTTTTACAATAAAAATCGTAAAACTTCGCTTTCTCGGAAAGAACTCGAAGAAATCGTATAAAACGGCAACGGTTAAACGAAACACCGAACATTGCCTAAACTATACGATTTACTCGAGATTTCTCGTTGAAACGATAAAAACGCGTTTTTTAATAAAAAACGCCGAGTAAGTCGTAAAAAACGTGTTTTTAATAAAAGTCGAGTAAATCGTAAAACCTTGCGATTAACTCGAGTAATTTATTAAAAACGACGTCAGATCAGGAAACGATCCCGTAAAAAGTCGGAAAACGGATTTATCGCAAAACGACCCGGAAGGACCTAAAACGCGATAAAAACCCATCTCGCGATTTCAACGGAATCTAACCCGCGGATTTGATAACGTTATGACGGTTTACTTGCAGAAGGAAAATAAAAGTCAAGTTTAAAGACAAAAGGAAGGTTTGAAGAAAAATAGAAGATTTCCGCGGAAGAAAAGGAAGGATCGAGAAAAATGGAAAGTTCCCGATATAGTCGAATCTGGGCAAAATGGAAAGACCGAACGACCAAGGCGAGGAGTATATAAATAGGAGGTCTAGGGCAGAAGCAAGACGGACGAAATTCAGAGCTCTCACCACCAAATCTATCAATTAGGAATATTTCCGTTTTTTCTGTTAGCGAGCTGCGTCTAAATTAGGGTTTTCGTTCTTAGATTTCTAAGGATTTTGCCGACGGCTCACGCAGCTTAAGGCCTCTCTTTTGTACCAGTTCTATGCAGATTCGGAATACGAACCTTCTTGCTTTCAATCTCGTTTATTTTCGTTTTAATTCTAAAGTTCATCGTTTTCTTAATATTTGTTGTGCGGTTCTGCAGATAGCCGGTTCCTCTGGAAATTTAGGGTTTTCCCGAAGTTTCATTTTTTACGATTATTTGACAGTAGGTGGATTTCGGTTCCCACAGTAGTTGCCCAATGAAGCATTCTTGCAAGATTTTTATGCCAGCTAACAACCCAACAACCCAAATTCTTGGGTAAGTATCTGCTAAAACTACAAAAGTGTTTTAAAAAAATACTGAAGATTTAAAATTGTAGGTGCCTTCCAGAGCTGAGCAGTTGTTTAACTGAAACATATTTCAGCTTGTTATGTTGCCTTGAAATAATTTAAAATTGAATACTTTATAATAGTTCTTTAGGATATTCATGGCAAAGACCTCTCATGATTAGTTGGTGATAATAGAATACTTTATAATATATGATGGTTTGGCAATACATGTAGTGACCTCCTCTCCAAGTTTGGAGTCTTCCTCTCAAAGCGTGGTCCCACGAATTTAAGGATCTTATTGTTTCCAGAACTCACCTTAAAATATCATTAATTTACATTTAAGAAACTACTATCCTGAGACAAAGTTGAAAGCTATATGTTTCTGACTAAAATGTCAATGGCTTCTTTTTATCTGTTGTTACTCTGCTTTTCTCTTTAGTTGTTAGTGACGACTACATATATATCTATATTTTAAGTTGTGAAAGTGACAACATCCATTGAATGTGTTAGTCCAGAAACGAATTGTTTATTATAGTTGGTGGCGCAACTGTAATCGCATTTGCAAAGAGACGTACAACTCTTGAACACACTTAACTAAGCTACAAGACTCGTCTAGTGTTATTAGCACTTTGTCAGAGAGAAAATGGAGGAGAAAATTATGAAGATTAAGTCTTTGTTCATTTATCCAATCGAATCTTGTAGTGGAATCTCTGTCCCTCAGGCAACTGTAACTCAAACTGGTAAGTTGTGAACATATGAATCTTTCTTCTTGTTTGTAACATTCACCGTTTCTTTTTTATTCTTTAAATATGTAGGATTTCAATGGGACCGGTACTGGCTGGAAGTGAACTACAAAGGAAGAACTTACACTCAAAAAGTTGAGCCTAAGCTTGCTCTTGTTGAATCTGAGCTTCCTAAGGAGTCTTTCTTGGAAGACTGGGAGCCAACAAAGAATTCGTTTTTGGGTAAATTTCTTTGAAAATACACAAAGTTTTGTATGAATCGATACTCGAATTCAGCTTCCTGATTATTCATTTTGCAGTGGTAAGAGCTCCTGGCATGAGTCTTTTAAAGATACCATTGACTAAACCAAGCTCGGTCGCACAAGGTGTGTCCATGTGGGAATGGTCTGGCTCTGCGTTTGATGAAGGAGAAGAGGCTGCTAAATGGTTTTCAGATTATCTTGAAAAACAAAGCCGTTTGGTTCGGTTTAATAAAGGTTTTCATTCTAAATGTGATCTTTTCATTAGCAAAGTCTTTGATGCATAGAGTTTGATAAACTTTAAAAAAAAAAATTGATACAGAAACAAAATCTAGACCTTCACTTCCCGATTATGCAGCTGGCTACACTACCACATTTGCTAATACATTTCCATTTATGGTTTCCTCACAGGTGAGCCAATATTGATAGTTGCAATATTAGTAATCTATAATATGTGTTTGATCTTCCTCTTCTGTTATTTTTTCTTAGGCTTCTCTGGACATGCTGAATACAATTCTTACAGAACCTGTGCGTATTAACCGTTTTAGACCCAAGTACAAGATAGTATTCATCCTGAGTTTTTAATATTTTCAGTGATGGTTGTTTTCTTCATGATCATGATTTTCCTCGGTTCTTTTGTAGCATTCTTGTGGGGAATTGTGTTCCTTTTGGTGAAGATCTTTGGGATGAGATCAAGATAAATGATTTAGTCTTCCAAGGAGTTAGGCTATGCAGCCGCTGCAAGGTGAATATGACGTGGGAAATTTAAATATACTCGGATTTTTTGTGAATAAAAGTTGTAACTTGTGTGTTATTATTATTCATATCGAGGTCTGTATATATACAAGTATGTAAACCGTCATAACAAAGAGATAATCCTAATCCTAGTAGGATAAGGATAACTACAGCAACAAGGATAAGGACCAAGAAGAGGATAAGGATAAGATGTGCTCCTGGTGTAGGATAAGGATAAGGTGTGCTATAAACCGCCAAAGACATAATTTGGATAGACCTGATCTGATCCAGTAGAACCCGGATGGGCTTCTGGTCTTACGGACGAGCCTGGCCCAGTTTATTCTGGTCCGGATATAGCCTAACCACCAAATGTTTTTAACCCTCCCCCTTGGTCGATATATCCGGTCAAGGTTTGTTACATGCTTTTGATGTTGCCTCACTAAATCCTCTCCTGGAAAACCCAAAACCCAGTAAGATAAAAAGGAAAACCAAGGACATGACAAAAGAGTACAACACATGAACTCCCCCTGATGAATGCATCACTGATGTATGAACTTCTTGAACCTTCCTGTCCAATCCGTGGATGAAGAGAACTCGGGTAAGATGCGCTTCTGTCGACCACTTCATATTCTGGTCGAACACGTTGAGTCTTGACCAAATCATACTTGTTGACACAATGATCGGATGGACTCGACCTCATGCGCCTACGGCTTGCTCCATGATAATTGATCTTCCTTTATCATCGGCCAAAGCACATTCTGATTGACCCATGATGAACCATGGACCTCTAAACCTGCGGCCAAACTCCACTCACGGATCTTCTCATGTGTTAGGTCAAACCATGATGCTGCTGCTGTAAGGTATTGCAGTTCCATTGTAAAATAACTTGTATCACCAAAATCAAATAACCTTTCTTTTTGGGTTGGTTAGTTATAAAATAAACACAAAAGATTTCAAATTTCGACAAAAAACGCATAGCTAGCACTGGAATACACTTATCAGGTGAGAGAGGCGATTTTGGCGAAAATTACGGCGATCAACGACGCTCAATCTCCGCTGCCTTCTCCGGCAGCTGAGATGGATCCGGGGACGATTCAGACGGGCACTACATCTCCACAGAATCAGGCGAAGGAATCATGGGTCTCTGTGGCGCAAGGTAAACAAATTCTGAAGAAATACGATGTTGAAATTTGTGAATCTGGGGGTAAGAAATCGATCGATGTTCCATCCGATATCATAGATAAAGCTATTCCACTGTGGGAGGATTTTGTCGTCGCGAGGTTTCTGGATACAGCTCCTCACGTCGCTAAAGTTCATATGATTGTTAATAAAATTTGGGAGTTTGGTGAAAAGAATCAGAAATTGGATGTGATCGAGATGGATGCTACAACAATGAGGATACGTGTTTCAAATGAGAAGATCAGGAGTAAGATCATCAGGCGTGGTTTGTGGAACATTGCGGGTGTACCTATGGTAGTCTCAAAATGGATTCCAAATGAGGATAAATCTAAGGCGAACTTGATCCCTCTCTAGGTTCATGTTACGAAGGTGCCAATGAGTATGTATTCTTGGGAAGGTTTGAGCTTCATTACGAGTGCTGTGGGAGTACCAGATCACTTGCATCCGGAAACGTTGGCTTGTACTCATTTTGAGATTGCTAAAGTGTTTGTCAATGCGGATCTATCCAAGGAGCTTCCAGAGAATATCACATACATGATCAAAGGGGAAGAGACTACAGTTCACTTCCACTATGTTGGACTGCCGCCAAGAACTAAATGCAGGAGATGGGGTCACTTGGAGATCTTTTGTAAGGATAAGAAAGAGGTTGTGGATTTGAAGGAGACTGAGACTATGCCAGTAAAGGTTGTGAATGATGTTCAAGTTGCAGGTCAGGGAAGTAATAATAGAGATAGTTTGAAGGTCTTGGATGTGGGGAAGAATGAGAGTGCCAAGAATGGGAAAGAGAAGATTGATAAAATGGAGGAAGGTAAGATAAATGATTGGCAAAATGTTTCTACAGAGAAGATTGGGAGGAATCAAGCATCGCTTGATATTACTCAAGTGATAATTACCACTCCCTCGAGATATGCCGCTCTGAGTAATTCAGATGATAATGGTGTTGAAGCTGAAATGGATGAACAGGAAGGTATGGAAGATGTGTGTGATGAGGAAATAGGTGATGAATGCCAAAGGAAATTGGAAGAGAGCATGGAGGAGAGAACGAAGGTAACTAAACGAGGTAGACCTAGAAAGAGGGTTACTAATAAAAATCATTAAATGGCGGGTTTCTTTTGGAACGTGAGAGGATTCAATAAGAAAACAAAACAAGATATAGTTAGAAGCTGGGTGAGAGATAAAAAATTTCTTTTTGGATGTTTAATTGAAACAAGGGTAAAGGAGAAAAGGGCTGGGAGTGTTGTGGCGCAGGTGTTTCAGGGTTGGGATTTTCTTTCTAATTATGAACATAATAGACTGGGAAGATTATGGGTGGTTTGGCAGTCATCAGTTAGAGTAACTCCGGTTTTTAAGAGTAGTCAACTAATCACAGTTTCTGTTCTGATGCCGGGGGAAGTAGAGGAGTTTCTTTGTTTCTTTGTGTATGCTTTGAACACAATGGAAGAGAGGAGAAGCTTGTGGGAGGATATTACTAGTCATCATAATTCTATGATGTTTAAAAATAAAAAGTGGATGTTAATAGGTGATTATAATGAAATATTGGATGGTAGCGAGCATTCGGAGTTTGAGAGTACTCACAGAACTCCTACAGGGATGAGGGAATTTCAAGAGGTTGTAAGTCACTGTAGGTTGTCTGATATGGGATCTCAAGGTCCGTTGTTTACTTGGTGTAATAAGAGGCAAGAGGGGTTGGTTTGCAAGAAGTTGGATAGAGTTTTAATAAATGAGGAATGGCTTAATCAATCTACTGCCTACTGTGTTTTCGAATCAGGTGGTTGCTCTGATCATCTCAGGTGTAGGATTCATTTTGATAAGGAAGTAGAGAGAAAGAGGAAGCCTTTTAAATTTACTAATATTATTGCTAAGATGCCGGAGTTTGTTCCTCTGATGCAAGGGTTCTGGAAAAATCAGGAGGAGTTGTATCACTCAACCTCGGCTTTGTTTTGACTTACTAAGTGTCTAAAGGTTCTTTAACAGCCCCTGAGAACACTTAGTAAGTTAAAACTAGGCGATTTGTCAAGGAAAACAAGGGAAGCTCATCAAACTCTTTGTGTAAGACAGAATGAAACTATGGAAACTCCAACGGCTGCGTGTATAAAGGAGGAAGCTGAAGCCTATGATAGATGGCAGAGGCTGGCTAATATTGAGGAAGAGTATCTGAAACAGAAATCTAAGCTTCACTGGTTAGATATAGGTGATGGTAATAATAAAGGTTTTCACAGCGCTGTGAAAATCAGAGAATCTCAGAATACTATCTTTGAGATTCTATGTGCTGATGGAAGGATTGTTAAATCAGGGGAGGAGATAAAGCACGAAGCTGAAAGTTTTTTTGAGGAGTTTATGAGTGCTCAGCCGAGGGAGTTTGAGGGTGCAACTGTTGAGGAACTTAAAGACTTGTTGCAGTTTCAGTGTGATGAAGTCGATTGTGTGAATCTCTTAAAGGAAGTTACTACTGAGGAGATTAAGGATGTTTTGTTCAAAATGCCTGGAAACAAGGCTCCAGGGCCGGATGGGTACACATCAGAATTCTTTAAGGAATCGTGGAGTATAATTGGAAAGGATGTTTCTGTGGCTGTACAATCTTTTTTCAGGCTGGGCTTTCTGCCAAAAGGTTTAAATTCCACCATATTAGCCCTGATCCCTAAGAAGAAAGAAGCTAAAGGGATGAGAGATTATAGGCCCATTTCTTGCTGCAACGTTCTGTACAAATTGATCTCGAAGATTTTAGCCAACAGACTGAAGAGAATTCTTCCACAGTGTATAACATGGAACCAATCTGCATTTATAAAGGGAAGGTTGCTTATGGAGAATGTTCTTTTGGCTACGGAATTAGTGAAAGACTATCACAATGATTCAATCTCACCAAGATGTGCAATGCAAATAGATATCTCGAAAGCCTTTGACTCAGTACAATGGTCGTTTCTGCTTAACACTCTTGAAGCTCTGGGTATTCCGGTTAAACTCATTCATTGGATTAAGTTGTGTATCACCTCAGCCTCTTTCTCTGTTCAGGTAAATAGGGAGCTTGCGGGATATTTTCAAAGTAAGCGTGGTCTTAGACAGGGATGTTCGTTATCTCCTTACCTGTTTGTGGTTTGTATGAATGTTCTCTCTCGAATGCTGGATAAGGCTGCTGTGAATGGTGAAATTGGTTATCATCCGAGGTGTAAGAACATTGACTTGACGCATATCTGTTTCGCTGATGATTTGATGGTGTTTTCTGATGGTACTAAGCGGTCAGTGGAAGGTATTCTGAAAGTGTTTGATGAGTTTGATAGGATGGCTGGGCTTAAGATCAGTATGGAGAAGTCTACCCTGTTTCTAGCCGGAGTTTCTACACATAAGCAAGAAGAAATTTTGAACCACTTCCCATTCGCTTCAGGTAAACTCCCAGTGCGTTATTTAGGCCTTCCTCTCTTGACAAAAAATATGTCTGTTCTGGATTATATGCCTCTAATTGAGAAGATTAGGAAGCGTATTAGTTCTTGGACGGGGAGGTTTTTGTCTTATGCTGGCTGTATTCAATTGATCAAATCTGTTATTGCAAGTTTGGTTAACTTTTGGATGGCAGCATTCCGATTACCTAGTTGATGTGTCAAGGTGATTGAGAGGCTTTGCTCTGCATTCCTATGGTCGGGTCCAGAGCTAAATCATCGAAAGGCTAAAGTTTCTTGGAGTGATATTTGTAGTGATAAACGGGAGGGAGGTTTGGGTTTAAGGAGACTGAAAGAGGTGAACATTGTCTGTTGTTTGAAACTGATTTGGAGAGTTTTATCGGCTGATTCACTGTGGGTCAACTGGGTCAAACCTTATCTTATTCGTAAGGGCTCTTTG